AGGCTGCCCCAGACCACTCTTCCGCCAACTTTATCCACAAGGTGGAAAGAGCACAAGATTGGAGCCACATACCAGCTCCCATCCCAGCTCTGCCTCCCTGGGCTGAATGTAGAGATGACTCCCTGAGATGCTGCCCTATCTGTGAAATGGGGTGAGGCTGACCACCTCACAGACTGTGGCAGCTGAGCAAAAAGTGGCTCAGATGGGATTTGGCACATCATGAATGCTCAAAAGATATTTCTTCCTTCCTCCCCCTCCACCCAAAGATACTCTCGGTGGCTCCCTATTGAACACCAAGCAAAGATTCCACTCTGTCGCCCTCCCCTCAGGCACTTCCTCACCCACTGCCATCACATTGGGCCACCTCCCACCTTTGCCTGGCTGTATCTCCTCCAGCCTTCCATGTCCTTGGCTTGATTTGGTCTTGCATTGCTATGGATCTGTGTGCCTGTCTGCTCTCCTTGAACCCAGCTAGACTGTGAGCTCCTGGAGGCAGGGACCACAGGGGGCCCCTCCTGCAGGCCGCAGAGCCTAGTGTGGAGTTGACACCCCACCATGTCTGTCTGTCCAGTGAAGGACTGTGGAGCTGCAGGGAGGGGGCGCCATCTGGTCATTCTGTCCACGCAGGCCTCTGCTGCTTCCTCCATATTCTCTTCTTCCCAGAATGTAGCTGTCTACCCTACCCAGGACATGCTGTAGGCTGGTCTTTCTGGGACAGTGTTGAGACACTATCACTGAGATGTGGTAATCTAAGCCAGCTCCCTCCCCACTCTACAGATCACAGAACTGAGGTCCAGAGAGGAGAGGTCACACAGCAATCAGAATTAGACACCAGGTCCCAGGTGCTGTCTTCCCAGTCCAGGGCTCGCTCTCTATCCCTCCCCTTGCTTGTGTATTCTGAAGGGCTCCATGGGCAGTTAGAGGAGGTGGAGGCTGCAGAGTGCTGCCCAAGGAATTATGGACAGTGAGGTCCCACAAGGCCCTATCAGGGCCTCCATACCCAGGGAGTTCCCACCTCTGCCCCTACCCAAAAACCCTGCGGTCTTCCTTTGAGAGGTTTAGCCCACTGCCCTTTGATTTGGACGTCTGTTGCTCTGCCGTTAATTCCTTCTGCCCTGTTGTTAAGCATTGCCCTCTGCAGAGGACTCGTGGAGCCCGAGGGAAATGGCCTAGGGAATGCCCCAGTCCTTCGGAGTCTTCCCCTGGCAGGAGGGCTTGGGAGAGGAGAGGGCACAGCCCAATGAGGTGTATCCCCAGGAGGGGATACAGCTGGGATGAATGTGACCCTCAATAAAACATAAAGGTGATGTATTAGGGGTGTCGGTATTTCCAATTATAAATGTAATACCCACCCTGGAAAGTTCAAAATAGTATAAAAAATTGTGCTGGAGTTGCAGCTTTAAGCCTGGCTGTGCGGGTAAGGCCCAGAGGACACTCCACTCAGACAAAGGCCAGGGGCTGACACCAAGGGCCAGTGAGCTGTGCATGCTCCAAGGGCAGAGGCCACGAGACAGGACTCGGTGTCCAGGGCCCAAGAAGGCTGAGGTCTCATCCAGGGAGTGCTGACTGAGTGGGTTTGACCTCAGGAAGCCCTCCAAACCCTCGGAGAGAGGATTGGAGCTGGGGGGACACAGGTAAGAGCAGAGGCTTGGGGGCACCAGAGCACAGAGGGAGGGAGGACTGGGGGATTGTGAATGCCCCATCTCCCCTGCCCTGGCTATTGCTGGGCTCTGGAGGACACCTTGGGGCTTTTCCAGGGCTGGGCAGGGAGCGCACTATGCCTAGCCCCCTACCTGGCATCCTCCTCCCACCTCCCTGCCTCCGGATGTGGGTGTAGAGCTGCCAGCTCCTTGCTTCGATGGGAGTGATTAGATTAGAAGGTGATTTGGGGGTCTGATTATCTTGGGTGGAAATTGGTCCCCTGAATCTTTTTCCATCCTGCCTTGGCTTGGGAGGTGGGGAGCAGCCTCTCAGTTGCCACCTAAGCCAGAGAACCAATGCCTTCATTTCCAACTAACCTTTCTACTGATGTGTCTCAGACCAGAATGTGAAGGTCTTGTTCCCTGGGAGCAAAGTGGAAGGTAACAAAGACAACAGGCTCAGAGATAGCAGAGAGTTCAAGTCCAGGCTCTGCCCCTCACCAGCAGAGTGACTCGGCAGGCCACCCCTTCACTCTGAGCCTCAGTTTCCTCCAGTTTAAGGACTAGATGAGATCATTGAGCATGGAGGGAAACACGTGCCCTGCACACAGTAGGTGTTCTACAGAGGTCAGCTTGGGTGGCTGTTACTGCTTTCTCTGCTTTGTGAATGCAACGTAGTATATTCCTTGCTCTCCTTTGAAGAGTCTCCAGTGATACCCCCCATGAGACCTCAGTTTCTCAGCATCTGTATAATGCTGATATATACCAACCCCTCCTCCTAGCCCCCTCACAAGCTGAGCCAGTGCCCAGGGAGACCTCTGGTCAGCAAGTTATTATAATGATCAAGATCCCATTATTGGGCCTCATCAGGGTGACAGAGCAGGGGTGCTCCAGGGTCTGCCTGTGATGAGAAGTCACCAGGCCTGGGATCTATAGCCTGGAGCCAGTGTCTGAGCTCATTCTGTGGTCTCCACTGTGCCCTGCTGAGCGGGAATAAAAAGCACTGTCCTTCTGTCCTGGGAATGGCCAGAAAGCTTGCCATCAGAGATCTGGGTTCTGCACACCCCTTGTGTCATCCTTCATGACTTGGTTTCTGCATCTGTGCATTGACAGGTTGACATTTACCTGCCTGAAAGGGATCATGGGAGAGAGAGTGTCTGTCCCTCTGAAAGCCCTTTGAGATCCTGAGATCCCGGAGACTAAGAGGCTAGAGTGTTGCATGCACACACACACACACACACACATGCATGCACAGGCACACACATTCAACATTGGGATATTGCTCAGATCCTAGAAGGAAAGGGACAGTGTGAATGATGCCACTTAAAAAGTAAAAACAGATTCCTTGCTTAAGGAAAGCTCTTTAGGTCCTGACTCAGAACCCCTCAACTCTTATTTTAGATACAATCGTAATGAGTTTCCTGACATGACTTCAAATCTGAAGCAAACCAAAACACAGTGAGAGATAAATTATGCTGAAAAGAGGAAGATGTGGCACCCAGTCATGAGGGGACAGAAAGAACTCTAAGAAGCAGAATTGAGTTCAAGAAGCAAGGCATAGCATATCAGAGTCACTGTTGTGGCTGTCAGGGCCCCTGTGATACTGTCTAGCTAGGCCAGGGTACAATTCTTACTCCCCCATTTGAGAAGGTAGTGTGTCCTGCATGGTAGACAGCTTTCTAGTCAGAGTAGCAAAAAATAAAAACAGGAAAAAAAATTGTGTGCCTGAAGAGCCAAGCTTCCAGGATCCAAATCCTTCCAGCACCAGTCAAAGGACAAAGGACCAGCAGTGCCGCATTTCCTCTCTGCTAGCACTGGCCACTCATCCTGTGGAGGAGGCTTTGAGCAAGAGGTGAGGGAAAGGCATTCAGGTGGTCACTGTGAGCAAAGGCCAGGGGCTGACACCAAGGGCCAGTGAGCTGTGCATGCTCCAAGGGCATAGCTGCTGTCCACTTCCCAGACTGGGTCCCAGCCGCCCTCCTGGAGTCACCTTTGCTTCCCCAGTGAGGCCGTGGCTTCAGTGGGCTTTTTTTTTTCCAATTTTTACGATTATATTAATAGCAAAATACACATAACATGGAATTTACCATTTTAACCACTTTTAAGTGTACAGTTCAATGGCATTAAACATATTCACATTGTTGTGCAACTGTCACCACCACTCATCCCCAGGACTCTTTTCATCTTCCCAAATTGAAACTCTGCACCCATTAACACTACCTTTCATCTCCCTTCCCCAGCCCCTGGCACTCACCATTCTATGTTCTGGAGTCATATGGAATTTATGCTCCTTTCATGGCTGGCTCACTTACTTACTGCAGGGTTCTCAAGGTTCATCCATGTTGTAGCCTGTGTTCAAGTTTCTTTCTCTTTAAGGCGGAATACTATTCCATTGAGTGTATAGACCACATTTCTTTCCCCTCTGCAGCTTATCCTCCCTCTGAAGCCCTTGCTTTCTGTTGGACAAGTTGTTCTCTGAGCCTGCATGGTGGAGGGACTGCCAGCAACAAGACTCTCTCATCAAACAAAAGCTGACACTGAAGCCCCAAAAATAAATAAAAATAGAGCCAACCCTGACCAAAGGCCTCCTTCACCCCCCATAGCCACCCTTCCAGCCCCCAGAAAGAATTTCAGGCTCTTTGGAACCCAGCTGAGAAGTGTAAAGTTCCCGGAAAGAGGTTCTTAACCTTTCCTGCAGCATAGAGCCCTGGGGAGTCCAGTGTCATCATGCGCCACCCCGACTCCAAAGAAAACCTTGAAATGCATAAAGTGAAATGCACTGGATCACAAAGGAGATCAATTATATTGGCATAAGTAGAAAAATGTGTGGTATAGTGATGAGTGTACTTTATTAAAGCTGAATAACAAGATCTAGCTAGCAATTGCATAACCACCTTATTTATAAAATAGAGATGAGCACCAACAATGCTGCAATAACTGTAAAGTGATATGGAAAAAATCTAAAGAAAAAAATCTGTGATTTTTGTAATGTGTATAGTGGCATCATGGACTCCAGGACACTCCTGGAGTTTGTTGTCTATGTCTGTACGGCTGGGAAAGGACTGGGGAGAAGGAGACAGAAGGAGGAAGTGACCCACCAGGGCAGGTAGTAGGTGGTGGGCCTGGGGCTCTTTGGGGTACCTGAGAACTGATAGATAACAGTGTTTCCAGCCCAGCACTCTCCTGAGTTGAAAGCATCTTGAAAGGGCCCACCACACATACAGTGTCAATCTTAACCGTAGGTGGTACCCCATGACCTCAGCAAGCAAAGACCCAGGAGCTGAGACTTCATTTCTTCACTCCTTTGGGGAGAGGGCTTTAGCCATGCAATGGTAACTAGGCATTTGTCCCCCTTCCCAGGGACCCACGTGATGGAGGGCTCAGGAAGGATGTTGGTGACTGCTGTGGGTGTGAACTCTCAGACTGGCATCATCTTTACACTGCTGGGGGCTGGTGGTGAAGAGGAAGAGAAGAAAGACAAAAAAGGTAAGCCTAATCCCTTGCAGGCCAGGAGAGGAGCTCATAAAGCCACATTTTTTTGTTTGTTTGTTTATTTGTTCACTCAACAAAATAGTTATTGAGTGCCTTCTATGTCCACACCCTGTGCTGACAGCCACCTCATGCATCCTTAAGGCCTGCATGGGCCAGGTAGGCTCTGTCTGTTTCATCTCCAGGATCTTGTCCCAGTCTGTCTTGTCCAATCATGTCATGGAAGCCCCTCCTTCCCCTCTGTGCCAAGCCAAGGATGCTGACCATGTTGTTGAGTCTCCACCCTCAAGTGGTAGAAGCAGCCAGCATCAATTGGTCCCTCATCACTCCAGTATTGAGTAGAAATCTCCACCCAAGCATATTCCTTCCAATATTGTCAACTCCACTGAGCAGAACTGAAAATCCACCCAGCACAGATTCATCTAAGACATGGGCAGAGGAGATTCTGGGAAAGGCAGCCAGATGCATGGCTTCAAATCAACTATTAAGAGTTTGCTCTCCAGTGCCCCCAGACCTGCCATCTTGTTCTGGTTCTTCCTCCTTCTTGGAAATAAGATTCCTTATTTACTGGTCTCTACTCAGTGTAGTAGACTAAGCGCCCAGGCCAAAAATGTCTCTCAGAACAGAGGAGGGATGCTCACACAAAAAGCTCAAGTCTCATTAGGCCAGGCACAAATCCAAAGGGCCAGGTTTCTGGTCCCAGCACAGCTGACTCCTTACCTGTCACCACACTTGGTCTCAGAGATAGCCCCCCTTTCACATTTTCAGTCTTTTGTCTCCTTCCTCAAGCTCTAGGGGAGGATCTGTGACATTCAGAACTTCTGGAATCCCAGAAGGTAGATGAGAGGACAGATGGCCACTCCCTGAGTTTTAGGGGCAGCCCTGCTCCCTCCAGCTCTCAGAGACCAATCAGGTACAAAGCTTAGGTCAAGATTGAAAGGTACTTGCTCATGAAGGCAAAACCCATTTTCTAGGGGGTCCCCTAAGATTATGTTGGCCCCTCGCAGCAGGAACAATGGAGCTGAGCTATGTTCTGGGAAATTAGGAGGCTAAAGCAAAGATGTGCTGAGGCTGAAACTGAGGAAAGGGTCCTGACCAAGAGTCCCAGAGAACATAAGGTGATTGTGCACATGCTGGGTTTGAATCTGTGGTCAGGATGGCTGAGCCCTATTCCACAATGCCAGCAGTTCGGCAGATCTGAGCAGGTAGGAGGGATGCAGCAATTTGTATCCATTGTCTTCACCTCACTGAGGCCTGGGTGAAGGGAAAACACCCCCAGATTCTTCCATGGGCCAGATCTCTGGTGTTTAAAATGCCAGTAGGGCCAGATCTGTGGTTTTTAAAATACCAGTAAGAAGACAGGCCTCAGATGCCCCAGAAGCACAGTTTAGAGTCCTTCACTGAACATGCACCTGCACCCCAGTGAGATTGAGATGTCAGAAAACAGCCTGTGTGGAGAGAAGATGGTGGAATGTGGAGGGGACATGGCAGAGGAAGCCTGGGGGAACAGCCCAGTATCTCAGGCCACCATGAGCAGCATGACCTCAGCTGGGCACCCTCTGCCCTCCCATCTCATCACCTCCACTAGGGACATTGCTTAGAGCCCACCAGCCACATGTCCCCATTTCAGGATGACCCTAGGTGTGTGGCCATGTGTGTAAGCGTGTGTGTGTGTGTGTGTGCGTGCGTGCGTGCACGCGCGCACACGCGCACGCATGGGCAGATAAGGCTGTGTGCTTCTTCATTAACATGTCTCAAAAATCATCACACAGGTGTGAAGAAGGGGGATGGCCTTCAGCTACCAGGTACAGTAAGACACCCTGAGGGTAGATGGGCTTTTAGAAATAGCAGCAGGCTTTGGCCACTGGGCCCTGCCCCTAGACCACCAGCACACAGCTGGAGGAGGCCACATGCCTGTGGGTGGCTCCACCCCCCCAGACCCTCCTCTGCACCCTCGAATGATGCCAGCCCTGTGGGTCAAGCCAACACCCCACTCTACCCTCTTGCCCTTACAGTGCCTCATCCTACTGGCCAATGCCAAGTGGCACCACCACCATCTCCACACCACCCTCAGCCCTGCATACCAGCACACAAAGCTTGCTCACCATCACAGGACCCCTCCAGCCCCTGCTCTCCCCACCAGCACCCCCGGGGAGCCCATGCCCTCACACAACAGTGTGGTTCACCCAGTGGGGCCTCTTCCCTCTCCTGCCCATAGAACACTATTCCCCAACCCCAAGAAAGAGCAAAGGGTGTGAATTTAGCCATCACATATCACTTTTAATTTCTAAATTAAGAAAAATTCACTAGTGCCTTTTCTGTCTCATACAAAATGCAACATACTTGATGTCACCTTTTAAATTTGGGGGGCATCTCACATGAGGGTTCCCAAAGCAGTCTCTGGAATGCCAGTTAGGGAAGGAGGCAGTGGCCTGAATCAAGGGCGTGAATCCAGTTAAGTCAAAGTAATTGTCATTAGCAAATGTTCTGCCAGAACAGAACACCCTGGTATCCAGAGACGGTGGTCATGGCGGTCTGCACCCACACGGCACTGCCTGTGAATATTTTTCCACTCCTGGCCAGATTCCCTCATTTTGTGGAACCCTCTCTGCCAGGGGACTCTCCTGAGCACCATCCCACCTAACCTTCCTGGTCATCCGCCATGCTTTATTTGAAAGACCCTTCATGTCTGAGTTTCTCCCCTCGACCTCTGCGGCATCTCTATGGAACATTTCACCCCCACCTCAAATTTGAGTTTCTTGGTTTCCAGTAGAGGATTTTTTTTTAAGAATAGAGTCATGTTATCTCCCCACAAGTGGGTTCATGTCTTTGTTGTTGTTGCTTTTCTCCATTGTGACACTGCATTTTCATCCCTCCCACCCCCCTGCAGCAGCAGACGGTGCAGCAGCTTCAAATGCTGCAGATAGTGCGAATGCCAGCCTAGTCAATGGTATGTCTCCCACGGCGAGCTCCTGGTCGTGGTTGGATGGGTGTCTCTCCCCCACCCCAACTCTGGGCTTTCTTTCCTTGTTCTGGACTGCACAGATCTCGGATGTGCATGGGCCGCTGGGACAGTCACCCTCTCACATGGGGCAGGCGCTTAAGACAGGAGCCACAGCCGGAGAGTCAGCTCTGCACCCTGTCAGCCTTGCAGCTGCCAAAAAGGTGCTGGCTCCTGCTGGGCCCTTGACCCCCAATGGAGCCCAGACAAGGGACAAGACTTTGGCTTCAGATTGGCTCCCAAGAAGCAGCATCCCACCCGGCGTGGCCCTTTCCTAAGCGTGTTCCTGGCCCTGGCTTTGGGAAGAAGGCCTGGGGTCAGGACTTGGGCTGAAGCTGGCATCTGGGTCCCCAGCAAAGGCTCCGGCCCTCAACTCTAAAATTTCCTCGAGGCAAGGGGACCCAGGTCGAGATTCAGCTCCTTGGCCCTGTCTCGCAGCATGGCTGAGCCACCAGTAAACATTTCTTCCTCTTCTCTTTCACGGAGCCAACGGGCAGGGGGTTCGCTTGGGCTCGGGCCTGGTTCTGTTCCTCGGATGTGGACTGGTGTTTCTTGCTGTTGCCTGTGCTGGAGCGTTTGTCCTGGGTCTCAGGGGTGGAGGGTGGGGTAAAGGGGCTGCCACTGTGTACTGGGGTCTGCATCTTAACCTTCTTACACACAGGCAGGAAGAAATTCCATTCACTTGCCCCAAAGCCTTTAGATTTCAGATTTCTATCCCCTCCTGGCTTCAGAGCAACAGACAAGGCTTCTGTTTACTCAGATGCCACCCCTCTCCCCAAATTAGGTAACATAATAGTCCCCCAGACTGCTCCTGAACTGCCAAGAACCATTAGGGCTCCATCATGAAAACATGATGAGGGACTATTATGTTACCTAATGAAAACATGATGGAACCATGATGGCTGGGAGCCCCAGAGAAGCCTAGGGCAGGGGAAAATCTTTTTCCCACCCTCTCTGCATACTAGGCACTGGGCTATGGGTTTCTCAACCATTGTATCATTCACTCCTCACCACTACTACAAAATGTAAAGACTTGTTCCCCACAGCCTCCCATCCCCTGCCTTAGACCTCTGCCCAAGCCACCTGCATTCAAAGTGACCAATGATGGAAGCACCTAGTAGGTGTCAGGGCTGAGTAAGGTACTTCTGTGAGCAGTGCCTTGCCAAGAAGGACTAATTCTGGCATGAGTCTATTTCAGGCACAGGAGGAAGAAGGACAGCTTGGGGAGTGGGAGGTGTCATGCCTCAGGGAGGGGTGGCTGAGGGTGACAAGGAGAACCCATGTGGGCAAATCCATGGCTGGAAGAGAAGGAACCCGGAGGGGGCACCCACTTCCCCCACGGCAGTGAGCCTGCTGAGCTTTGTGAACATACAGACCCCATCCAGGCTGGCCAGTCCCAGAAGAAAAGGCAGTTTCACCTCCAAACTGCAGCAGAAAACCCCAAATATCCCAAGAAAAATGGCAGGAAAGATGGGAAACTTTCATTTCTTGATCACCTACAGTATACCAGGCAAGGTTGAAAGCATTTCATGTTCACTGTCTCATTTAATCCTTGTGACAACCCCATAATATGGGTTTTATTGTCCCCACTTTAAAGATGAGGAGACTGAGGCTCAAGGAGACCAAGACACTAGCCTAAGGTCACAGAACTAAAAAGTAGCAGAGCTGGGATTTGAACCCAGAACCCAGACCTGACTGGCTCTAAAGTGTGTGCTTCTCCTCCTGATCCAGGATTTCCCAGTGGAGTATGTCTTGTAAGTTTCACAAGGATGTTAAGAGGTCTTCACCCCAAGAAAATGATTCTGTAGTCAAAAATGTTTAAGAACCACTGGATTGAATTGGTCTCTTCCTGGTTATAGGACTGCTTAAAGCCTTGACTATGCTGGTGTGTAGTAGAGAGTTACTGAGTCACACAGAGTTTCCTAGGCTTATTTGACTGTAAGACATTTCCTGGCTGAATCCTGTGGGATTGGTGTGCCCTGTAATATACTCAGGGAAACAATGCTCTAAACCATTGCTATTCAAAATGTGATCACAGGACCCACAGCCTATGTATCTCCTGGGAGCTCCTTAGAAAAGCAGACTCTCAGACCCCACCCCAGACCAACTGAAGGGGAATCCACATTTTAACAGGCTTTCCAGACTCCAGGTGAGAGCACATCACAGTTGAAGAGGCACAAGGCGGAGCCTTGCTGATTGAGAGGGGATTAAGTGTTCTTTCCCCTCCTTCCTCTGAGCCAAATCACAGTGACTTGGATATGGGGGAAAAAAAAAACAAAATAGGGTGCCAATATTCCCTTTGACCCTGCTCTCCCAAGCCCCCAACCAAAAGATGGATGTGGTCCATTCATCTTGGAAGCATTATGATTGCCATTATTATTTATTTTTCTTTTACACTTAATAATGTATCACTATGTAATACATGACCTGTAATCATGGTTATGATCACATTTAATTATACATCATGAGGCTGGGCACAGTGGCTCATGCCTATAATCCCAGTACTTTGAGAGGCAGAGGCAGGTGGATTGCTTGAGGTCAGGAGTTGGAGACTAGCCTGGGCAACATGGTAAAACTCTGTCTCTACTAAAAATACAATACACACACACACACACACACACAGTAGCTGGGCATGGTAGTGAGCACCTGTAATCCCAGACTGGGCAACAGTAATAATAATACATCACTACTAACTCCCAACGTTTACACAGTGCTTTTCTAGTGCCTTTCATAAACACCACCTTGGTGGACATCAGCCCATGTCACAGAGGAGAAAAGCACAGGAAAGAGAAGTGGTATTTCCCAAGTCTCCCTCCAGCCAGTGATCTGTCTCCCTATAAGCTCCCTAAGGTCACCTTACCAGCAATTCTCCTAATCCATGCACTTCACACCCATGCCCCTTGTGATGCACAGAAAGAATAGACCAATTTGGAAAAGGTTCATCTGATTCCAGACACAGAGAAAGGCCTCTGAGACCCCGCCTGAGAGCTCCATCTTGGACCCCATCCCTAACTGTCCTGAAATACAGTTCATCTTCAGATCCCACATGGAGCCAAAGCTGGCTTTTCCACCATAGTTCAGCCCCAGGTGAGCACCAGTGTGGCCTAGGAGAGCCCCAGATAAGTCCCTCACTTCTGAGAAACCAGGCCATCTGTGCCTCAGCACTCCCAGAACATCCCTCCCTTCCTCCAACATACGCATTGGTGATTATTTTTCTGACCACATGTTCACTATGGAAATAAAAGAGGAAATTGCTAGCTGGGCTTAATGAGTGCATCTGATAATGTGCAATGCAAATGAAAGCCCCTTTGAGCCTTCTAAAACCAGCTATTGAAGTGGCGCCCCCTGGTGCCCCTGAGCCCAGTTAGTGAAATTATTTTAGAAAATAAAAATAATTGTTGTTATTCATTCCTGCTTACTCTAAAAAGCTTTTTTCTCTTGTGTTTCAGTAGAAAGAATTTTACAACAGAGACACAGGGAGTCTTTCACTTTAAAGTCCAGGGTGGGCAACTGATCCTTTGCCATGGGAGGCCATGGGAATAGCTCTGCACTTACCTTGGACAGACAGTGCTGGGTGAGGTTCGGGGAAGCCACTTCTTCCTTCTGAGTCACTCAGAAAGTGGGCACAGTGACAGTGAGGAACTAATCCTGCAGCCATGGGGTTATTCCGAGGATACTACTAAATGCAGGCTGCCTCTGAACTTGCCTTGGCCTCAGTTTCCCCATCGAGAAAATGAGAGTGATGAAAATCTCTCCTGCCCCACCTTGCAGGGATACTGGGAAGACTGACAAGAGATGACACTTGCAAAAGCCCTTTGAAACTGTAAAAGGCTGAACCGTGCAAGTGGTTATTAGGAAGGTAACTTTGGGGCACTCTGGGAGGTGAATGTCTCATCCTGCTTTATGAAAGTGGAAGCTGATGAGGTTGGGAGATATAGAGCCAGCAGCTAGTTGGTGGCAAACTGAAGACTTCAGGAACCCTGTCCCAGCAGTGCTGCCTCAACTCCCTTCCCCTGGGCTCAGAGGTGCTGAGGGGTGTTGTTCATGGTCTCCCCAACAGCAGCTTCTGGAGAAGCAATGGCAGGACAGAAGTAAGCACGCACTTTGGGGCCAGCTCTCCATTTACCCATTGAGACCCAAGCAGGACATCTCCCTCTCTAAGCCTCAGTTTCTCATCTGTAAATGGGTATAATACAAGCACACCCTTCATAGGTGAGGCTGTGGTGAGAATTAGATGGAATCTCGGAGCCTATGTGTATGCCCAGCACGTGGTGGGTTGTCCGGGAATGTGAGCTGTGAGAATCAACATTGCAGCCATCATTCAAGGGTGTCCAGCCTTCTCAGACCCCTCCCCAGGGTGTGAGGCCTGTAGGCAGAGCAGGCAGAGCTCCAGATGAGCATGCAGGCCCAGTGGACAGGAGGGTGCTGATGAAGGCAGGTGTGCTAGGCAAGAGGCCACCAGTACCCACACTGCACACTCAGCCCACAAGCTCCTGGCCAAGGCTGGGGTGGAAGCCTCCCAGGCAACTCTGATGAGTGGGAGGGGGCAGATGCAGCACCAGGCCCTGGTATGGGATAGGGTGCCCACCGACACTACTTATCCTGCTGCTGTAGCCTGAGCCATAGCCCTACCAAGGGGCCAGCAATTCCCTTGAAAACCAGGGCACTTTCACCAAAACCCCAGCCACACTTGGGGTCCCTCATATACCACCATGGGGGCCCCTGCTCACTCTTTGTTCTGGTCACTCTCAGAGGTGTTGGGCAAGGGGTCATCACTGGGTGGCTTCACACTCTTCAGGAGGAGAAAGAGAAAGAATCTCCCCTCTTGAAGCCCAAAACTAAGGAACACATTGACCTCAGTGCCTTGTCCAAACTCCTCTCCATTCTAGAAACTCTCTCTCTCTCTCTCTCAATCTCTCTCTCTCTCTCTCCCCCCCCCCTCCCCCACCTCATCTGCCTATTCTCTCTTATGGGAAAATGAAAAGAACATAACTGAACAAGTTTCCCTTTGCCTTCTCTCAACCCAGAAAACACCAAATCAGTCACAAAAGGCTTGGTGTGGGGCCTGAGGGCTTCTCTGCTGCCTCCCCCAGCAGACTCTTGTCCCCTGCATCCTCTGATACTGCCCTTTGATCTGTAATACGTTCAGGGCCAAAAGTATTCCAACAGGAACCTCCCTCCTGAGCCCCCTAGAGAATCCGGAATTGCCCAGCTGGCAGGCCCCACAGCTAAGGTGGTGGCCAGGCCTGCTCCTGCTTCAGGAGCCTCCCCAGCCTGCATCCTCTCACACAGAGGGATGCAGTCAGCACGGCCCTCCCTCCATCTGTGACATTAATGTCCGTGGCCTGTTGCGTCTTCATGATGACCGACCGTGTGTTGTCTGTTCTCTGTTGTCTGTTAAAATTTTTTGTCGTGTAGGTAAAATGCAGGATGGCAATGTGGACGCCAGCCAGAGCAAAGGTAACCCTTTCATATTAACCGGCGTGTGTGTTCCCTGAGGCCCCTCCCCACTGGCTCTGAGGGTCACATCAGAGACAGAGACTGGTGGGGCCAGAGGCAGACACATCCACCCCTGCAGGTGTCTGACGACCTTGGGGGTGTAGCTGTGATTCACATGGTGCCAGGCCAAATAAAAAGGTGTCCACCGGTGAGGAGGGGGCCACCCACGGGCCAGCATCTCCCCAGCCTTTGAACTCTGCTGCCCATTCAGCTGAAGACTTTGAGATCCTTAGAGGCTGAGGGGTAGAGAGTTTGGCTCAGTCTCTGTCCAAAGGGTCATAGGCCCTCCAGTCCATCCTGCATGGAAGAGGCCACACCAACTGGGATGGCAACTTGGCTCCCCTGGCCGCCCTCTACCTTTTCAGCCTCCTTTTTTGTCCCTCCTGTCTGGTGGCTACTTAATATTCCACAACAGTTCCCAAAGGCCACCTGAATAGAGCCCAAGCCTGTCTATCTTGGCTGAATATGGGAAAGGACAAGGGACCACCTGGGGTAGGACCCACAGGCTTGTTCAGACTGAGAGGGGGTTCTAGGGTAACAGCATCAGTCCCTGCTGTATCCCGGATTCCAGGTCCAAGGCAGGGAGTGCCACTAGGATCCATAGCTCCAGCTAGAAGACGCAGGCCCCCTGTCACAGGACTTCTGCGCCAGCCATGCGGGGCTCAGGCTGGGCAGTCAGCACCTCCCCTGGGTAGGCATGGGTGGGTGCCAGTGTCCCCACCCTGTAAGCTGACGTGTGTGTGTGTGTGTGTGTGTCTGTGTATCTGTGTGTGTACACATGCATGCTCTGCCCCCTGCAGCCAAACAGCAGGACGGGGCAGCCGCCATGGAGATGCAGCCCCTCAAGAGTGCCGAGGGCGGCGACGCCGACGACAGGAAGAAGGCCAGCATGCACAAGAAGGAGAAGTCCGTGCTGCAGGGCAAGCTCACCAAGCTGGCTGTGCAAATCGGGAAGGCGGGTGAGTGCAGTGGGTGGGAGGCGGGGCACAGGGCTCACAGGAGGACCCCAGGCAGAGCCCTGCCCCAAGCTGGGTCTGTTACCTCATCTGCAAAGTGGGGGGCTTGAATGAGTGCCTAAAGCCCACCCAGAAGTCCACAGTGAGTCCTGTGTACAGTAGGCCCTCTATTAGCATTCAGTGACATAGAAGAGTGACACTCAAAGCCCAGGCTCTGGTGGCAGATGGCCTGCATTCTTGTCTGGCAATGGCCATGAAAACTTGGGAAAATAACTTCTCCTAGCTCTGAGCCTCCATATCCTCACCTGTAAAATGAGGACAGTAGCTGTCCCCACTTCACAGATTCCTGTGGGAGTTAAAGGAGGCTCTGCATACAAAGCATTAGCACTTGGCAGGTGCGGTGGCTGGAGAGTGGGCAGGGCCTGGAGTTCTAAGCAGCACAGACTTTATCCTGAGGACAGTGGGAGCCATGGAAGAGACTTGAGCAGAGGTGGGAAGGAATGGGTTTGGGTTTTATCATGACCACCCTGGCCACAGTGCAGAGGAAAAACTGAAGAGGTTGAGGAACAGTGCCAGGAGCACAGGGAGAAGCCCATGGTCTGAGCCCCAGCACAACAAACGGGGCATCCCGACTAAAGTGGTAACTGCAGGTGATGGCTGGTGACGGCCCCTCTGGCCCAGCTGCAAAGTGAGCCCCTGACACTCTGGCACGGCCTAGGCTTCCCTCCCAGGTAAGGAGGTAGTAAACGCCAAGGCCTTCCCACCTGGCTGCTCAATCCTTTGTGGCTGTCTCCCTAGCTCTAGTTACAGACACCACGGTGTTGGGAAGGGAAACAGATTACAGGCTTGGCTGTCTATATTTAAACTTGGGGGACTGGTGACGGCTCCCGGCTGCTGGGAGCTTGGCTTCCCGCCCCTGCCACTGTCAAGACAGAGTTGGAGCTGGCTCTGAGGCTCCACAGCTGGAGGTGGGGTGGAGAGCTATGGGCCCGGGGATTTCCTCTATCCTCCATCCTGCCATTTCCATCGTCACAGGTAGAATATTCCATGGAAACATGGCACTGACACAGCAGGGAACTAGGCGATGAGAACAACCCCGTGGCCTTCAAAGTCCTCACTCCCCTCCTTCTTGCACTTTGGCTCTGCCAAGAATGGAGTTCCCAGTCAAGCACTCCTGGGTTCACAGCCCATCTCTGCCCCTCTCTTGGGCTGAATTCCCTGAGATGAGTAGGCAGGGGATCTATTGATGGGGTGCTCTCAGGTGAGACCTACAGGAGGCACAGGTCCAGGCCAGGGGAGAAGCCAGAGACAGCTGAGATTTCCAGAGAACTCCTGGCCTCTCCTGATCCGATGGGAGCTCTGGAGCAGCCCAAATCTATCCCTGCCCTACTCTGCTCAAACTTCCTCCATGGCTCACACTGTCCTCAGGATAAAATCCATGCTGCCCAGAACTCTAGGATCTGTCCTACGTCAAAGCATGGTTGGGCTTTGGGACTCCCGTGTCAGCCACTGGATGGTGGCCATCAGGTTGAGATAGGAGTGCATTCCCAGGCACTTCCCGACAAAGGGACTCCAGTCACCTTAGCAGGCTCCTCCTCTGTGAGAGGCTGCAGGTGTGAGCAGTATCTGCAGCACATGCAGTAGCACCTGTAGCAGATGGGAAATGGGCATGCGTGATGGTACTAGTGGTCGCCGTGCCCATGCCTGAGGGGTCGCCATACCCCAGGGGATCAGGACAGGTCCCCAACTGCGTTCCTACAGTTATAGCATCTCTCTCACCTGTGACTGCAAGTCACCTCCCCTCTCTGAGCCTCAGTTTCCCCATTCAAAAAAGCTGCATGCTGTTTCCTCTACCTAGAATGTTCTTCCTCCAGGTCACCATGCAATGGTGTCTGTTCAAATGTCACCTCCTCTAAGAAGACTTCCCTGGCCACCCTAGCTAAAGTAACCACTCCCTACCCCCGACCATGTCACTTTCTATCACGTCATCCTGGCCTTTTTCTTCATAGTGTGTAGCCATCTCTGAAATTGTCTCGTTCGTGTATTTGTTTATTTTATTTGTTTGTTTTTTGTCTTCCTCCTCCTCTAGAGTGTCAGCTCCTCAAGGGCTGGAACTCTTGTCTTCTTTGCTTCTAGGTCCCTAGTTCCCAAACTAGGAACTAAGATGTGCCTGGCATATCATAGGTACTCAAAAGATATTTGTCGAGTAAATAAATAAATAAATGATACGAACTTCACATCATTATTGTGTGAAAGCTCTATGCAAACCATTCCTCATTTATTCACACAGTCACTCGGCACGCATCTCTTGAGCACCTACTATGTGTCACACACTGTGCTGGGCACTTTGCATGTATTATCACATTTGAGCCTTACAAAATCCCAGGGAGGAAATATGAATCCTCATTGTACAGAGCAGGAGACTGAGGCTCGGTGAGGATCAAGGTCTCAAGAACTTGTCACAGGTCACAAAGCAAGGAGTGCCAGAGCTGGGAGGTGAGCTGGGGTCAACCGGACCCCAGAGCTCTTTCAGCCAAAGGTTTAGTCAACACCACGCATGGCCCCCACTTCCGGGAACCCCCGAGCATGTGTCCCTCACATTGCAGGCTTGGTAATGTCAGCCATCACAGTGATCATCCTGGTGCTCTACTTCACTGTGGACACCTTCGTGGTCAACAAGAAGCCGTGGCTGCCTGAGTGCACACCCGTCTACGTGCAGTACTTTGTCAAGTTCTTCATCATTGGCGTGACAGTGCTGGTGGTCGCCGTGCCCGAGGGGCTCCCTCTGGCTGTCACCATCTCGCTGGCCTACTCAGTGAAGGTGAGAGGGAAGGAGAGCAGGACCAGCCAGCTGATGCAGCTGCAGCTGGGGGTCTGGGGGGACTGTTGGGGCCAGTGCTGGGGTTGGGAGGCGAACAAAGAAGCCCACAGACACACTTGGAGCTCAGAAAAAGAATGTATGCAGGACCCCAAAACTCTGATGCTTTTGTAGAGTCCAGGGGCCTGTGGCAAACCAGGGAGCCATACCCTGGCTGAAGAAGCAGCCATTATTCAGCCTGGCTACACCCCACCTGGCAAGGGTGCAGGCCCAGAACTGCCACATTGTCACCTTTTTCCAAGAGAAGCTAGAAATCTGGACGTCGTCTAAACTCTCACAATTTTTATACATCGATAATCAAAGCAAATTTTTTTTTAAAGTAATAAAGACATCACCATGCAAGGCAAAACTCATCCTTACTCTGCCAAATTTATGCACAAGTCTGGCGGTCTCAGTCGTAGACCCATCGGGTAACCGTAGTGCTTGTAAAACTAATCTCAGAGGTGGCTTCCTAAAGTGGGAGGGGTAAGCCGAACAGGAAAAGGAAGTCTGATTTCATGGAAGCCTCTTCCCCTTGGGAAAGAGGCTAAAAGTATGAGAAATGTTAAAGCAGTTAAATGAAGACCTGGGGCCATGAATGTTTTCTGGGGAAGCTTGGTCTGGGACCTTTCTAAGCACTCCCCTGATGGCAGAGCCACACCTCTACCTGCACCCAGGCCATGGCTGTCTGCAGAGCCCAGTCACTGTGAGTCTGACCCTACTTGGGCCAACCCCAAGTTCTCACACCCAGGTCTCATTTTCTTCCCTTCGCCCCACGTTTTCTCCACCTAGAAGGGCCGAGTGTAGGGCTCCTGTTTCCCAGCACCCCATGCCGGAATGTCCCTGCGAGGGTGGAGGCGTGGCCATGTTTATAAACAAGGTATTCACTCTGAGAAATTGGCAAAGCCTCGGGAGGGCATGGTGAGCGTCAGTTTCCAAGCTGGAATTTGGGCTGGGCTCTCCGATGTAATTTCATACAGAAAAGAGATCTCCAGACAGGTGCCAGAAAGTGGCAGTTCTGTGTAACGAATACGGCCCTTATCTTCTTCCTGTTTTAGGGTTCTTGAAGAAACTCCATCCCCACAAACCAAAGCCCAAACAGGTCACAACAAGAGGCTACTTTTGGACCCGGGGCCAGCAGGGGGTGACTGTTATACACCCATGAGTAGGGGGCCTGGTCCACAGTCACTTCACTGAGCCTGGGGATATCCTTGAAAGTTGCACAGAGCTGGTTTGGGAGAATCATAGACAGATGCTCTTAGGTCTCTGTGCCTTCTGCAGTTCATCTCTCTGGCACCCAGTACCTTTGCTCATCTTAGATAGTGTTACTTGTACAGTCACTTGATAAACTTAGGAGAGCACCCCAACACAGGAGAGGCAGACTGTGCCCTCTCTGAGCCTGGACCTGGGAGCCACCATCAAGAGCACAGAGATGACTCACCACTTAGATCAACACTGCCCAAAAAGAGACAGAATGTGAGCCACATGTGCAATTTTAAGTCTCCTAGTAGCGGCCAGGCATGGTGACTCATGCCTGTAATCCCCAGCACTTTGAGAGGCCAAGGCAGGAGGATCACTTGAGCCCAGAAGTTCAAGATCAGCTTGGGCAACATAGTAAGACCTCATCTCTATACAATAAAATAATTTTTTAAAAAAGAAGAAAAAATTTCCAGTAGCTACATTTTTTTAAAAAAGTAAAAAGAAACCATCAAAGTTAATTTTAATAATATAATTTACTTAACCCAATATGTCAAAATTATTATCAATCCAACATGTGATCAATATAAAAATTATTAAATAACTACTTTTACATTTCTTTTTTCATAATATCTTCTAAATGTGAAATGTATTTTACACTTACAGCACATTTCACTTCAGACTAGCAACAGTTCAAGTTCTCAGTAGCCTATACATGTAGTCACAATACATACGACTACCATATTGGACAGTACAGACTTAGAGATTCTTGAGCCCAACAGACAAACCCTCTTCAGAGAGTGCGGGTGGACTGAGGCCCGACTGAAAGGTCCGGGCTGTGAGGTTAAACGGAGGTAGGTTCAAATCCCAGCTTTAAATCCCTCCAGGTGTGTGATCCTGGTTAGGTCACTTTGCCTAGATTTCTTCAACTGCCAAAATGGATTACTGGAATCTTCTCACATCCCACAGAATTCTTAAAAACATCAGGCAAGTAATTCACAACAGGACTTTGCAAACTGTAACACGTGTTGCAAATTCCAGTTGCTATTAATCCATCAACATGCATTCATTATTTCTGTTATCATAAGTTATAGTAGGAGAAACTGCAAGAGAATATAATCCTAATACTCATTTTTAGTAACATAAAGCTCTATTAAAATTATTCTAACTGTACTTCTTTTTTACCCTGGTTATAAAGAGTTATAATGAGGAGCAAAAATAAAGGAAATATAACTCCTAGGCACAGCCTAGAGCTCTGATTCAGCTGCTACATGAAGAGGGCCTGCATGAAGAACAGCGTTTTCTTGATAACTACTTCATTTGCTTGAGAACCTAGAAGAAGCTGTGAGTGTGGAGTTGGGCCAGAGAGAAAAGAAGGCAGATAGAAGAAAATATTATGTATAGGAATATTCTATTTTTGTTATAAATTTCAAAAAAAAGGATGTTGATATACAAGATGTACCTAGCTCTGCATGGTAGCTTATAGTCAAAATGTTTTCTTTTTCCCTTTTGTGTATATATATATATTTTTAAAGAAATGTGCAGTTTTTATTATGCAAGTGATAATATATGTTAGTCATAGAAAAGACCATAAAAATCTATAATTCTATCACTCAGTGATAATAACATTAATACTTTTATATTTTCCTATATCCTAATTTATTTACTTTTGATAAAATTAAAATGACATTGAAAACCAGGCACCAGTGAAAGAGGATATGTTCAAAAAAATCCATGACCAAATAAGGAACAGATACTTATGTTAGTCTATAAGAAAAAAAAACATTTAAAGTCCTCAGAGAAGAACCAATCTTATTTATCTTCCCCACTCCATCTCCGCTTTTTCCCATAAAGAATGTAGATTACCTCTATAATCCAAACCAGTAAACTCAATTAACTGAATCTTCTAAATGGTTCAGATACTAAAAGAGAAAGAAAAGGGCCACACACACAAAAGAAGCCCAGGTGTAGGAGGGAGCAGCAACCAAGATGCTTTGCAAGTGCAGGAAGCAAAGGGGCAGGCCATGGTGGCTCTGTCTTATTTACTGCGTGTTTACCCAGTGCCTCCAGGCACCCCATGCTCCCCAGCCCCTCTCCTCACTGTTGCCCTCTCACCTGCCCCTTCTCCCAGAAAATGATGAAGGACAACAACCTGGTACGCCACCTGGACGCCTGTGAGACTATGGGCAATGCCACAGCCATCTGCTCAGACAAGACAGGCACGCTGACCACCAATCGCATGACAGTGGTACAAGCCTATGTCGGCGACGTCCACTATAAGGAGATCCCCGACCCCAGCTCCATCAATACCAAGACCATGGAGCTGCTGGTCAATGCCATTGCCATCAACAGCGCCTACACCACCAAGATTCTGGTAAGTGAGTACCAGGCACATCCACCACCAGAGGGAGCAACATCCATGGGATGGTACAGAGGTACTGGGCAGGTTGAGCAATGTGATTCATAGTCTCAAATCCTACTAATGTATTTTGGTATGGTCAGATAGTAAGCAACATTTTTCTCTTTGACTTAATGTACTATTAATATTGCTATAATGTTTGTGTGACAAACCTTTATTGTTAATTATGTTTTTTAAATCCTGTCATTGAACCCCCACTTCTCCTGCCCACACATACACACACACAAACTTTCTATTAGTGTGCTATCCAAAACAGTGGGTTGAAACAAACCTGTGTATTTAGCTTAAAGTCCTGTGAGTCAGCAGTTCATGTTGGGCTCAGCTGGATGGTTCTTCTGGTCTCAGCTGGGATTCTTCCTGCATCTGCAGGAGTTCAAGTGGACAGTTCTGCTGATCTTGGCAGGACTGTAGGCTGATTTAGCATGGGCTCTACTGGGCTGGCTCATCCCTGCCCTGTGTGGTCTCACCTCCTCCAGCAGGCCAGCCTGGGCTTGTTCACATGGTAACAACAGGCCTCTAGGAGAGAGCAGAAGCATGCAGGGTCTCTTGAGACCTGGGCTCTGAACCACCACGTTGTCACTTTTTGCTGCATTCTCTTGGCCAACATAAGTCAGGAGTCCAGCCTAGATTCACAGAGTGGGATAATTTGCTTCACCTCTTGATGAGACATGCTGTAAACCACATGGATTCAAAAAGGAGAATAACTGGCCATTTTCACAGTCTACCACTGATGTTGATGATGTTAGTAATATAATTCATTTTGATAAGAAAAACTCTCAACTTACTGTCTCAGCTAAGCTGCCTTGACTCACCATGCTGTAAACCCTATCTGGTTTAGAAGCAGAGGTTTCTCCTTTGTAATTAACCAGCACTGGATGAAGAGAAACTCAAAGTTCATCCATCCAGATGTCCATCATCTCCCAGATGTGGGGCATTTCTGCCTTGTGAGCATCTGGGTGATTGACTAAGCTTTTTTGTTTACCCTCCCAATGTGCTGAGTGCTGACCTCCTCCTCCTTCTTCCCCTGAGCCAGCTGCAACCTTCTAGATCAGGTTGGGTTTGTGGGAGCTGCTAGCAGCTTTATTGAAAGGGGGAAGAGAGTGTGAGTCAGCAGCAAAGAGCCAAGAGCTGGTAGGGGAAGGAGGAGGAGGCAGCAGCTCCTGCACCCTCTGCTGCAGCTGAGCAGCCACCTGCATCACCCTGGAGCAGCAGGTTAAGGGAGGCAGAACTGACAAAGGGGAAAGTAGGTCAGAGGACACGTGCAGATGTTGATAGAGAACCCTGGGGTTGATCCCAGAAATAACAACGTTTATGTCTTCTTCCCCCACCCCACCCAATTTGGGAATCAAGGGAGATCAACAGTGCTTTATTCTGCTCCCCAGACCTTCCTAAAATAACTGGGATGCTGATAATGATCTCCTCATACAGACATGGCAGAATGGGGAACAGGGCAATTCCCAGAATGGGCTTCAGGCAATAGGGGCAGTCATGTGGGCACAGCCCTGTTGGGGGACTTGGATTGAAATTTGTGTAATGCAATTATAGGCAAAAAGAGTCCTTGGGGTCTGCCAGGAAGACTGAGGAAACCTCTCCACAGTGATGAGTCTCAATTAAGCAGTGCTATTTAGCACTGGTGACAAAGCTGAAATGCCATTTCCAGATGTTGGTGGATAGAGTCTGTCCATGTGGCATAAAGGACAGGGGTCAGTCAGCCCATCTGAGGAGAAGGTGCAGCTGCTAAAGCTGGAGAGAGGTCAGGGATCTGGGAACTGGGGTCCTTGGTTTGTAATCCAAGGCAGGTCCCTTACCTCTCAGGCACCAGAGTCCCCTCTATGCCTGGAATCCTGGCATCGTAGGATACCTGTGCCTGTATTTCTGGGTCTTTTTTGTAGGTTCCCTGGCACATGTCCCCTGGCCACATAATTCTCTTTGCCGGGAGCTGACAGCCATCTATATGGGAAGGACAGTAGAGCGTCTGTGTAACCAGGTAGTGGTTAAAACTTGGACTCTGAAGCCAGACTGCCTTCGTTCAAGTCCCTCAACAGCTATATGAATATAAACAAATTATTCAACCTCTCGGTGCCTCAGTTTCCTAAGGGAAGGGGAGAACCTTTGATCGTTGTGAGGATAAAGTGAGTAGTTAATGGAAAATGCTTAGCACATAGCACTCAATGTGACTAGTATTGTAGTTATTCAGCAATAAAAATCACCCACTGAAAGGGGATTCCAACTGTAGCAATGCAGAGGCTAACAAATAAATAGACAGCAGAGATATCAGGTCTAGAGAGGGAAAGGCTATTGCCCAAAACCATTTAGCCAGTTATTGGCAAAGCTAACCCATGGGTACCCTAAAGCCAGCTGTTGGGTCAGATGTTCAGACTAGGTTCCTGGTCATAGAAACCAACCCTGTAGCACCTCTATCCTACAGTCTGCTTGGAAGAAAGGTCTGGGGTCCCCAGAGGGTGAGATTCACAGCCAGGGCCTGCCAGCTCTATGGGGCAAAAGGCCTCCCTGGGGCTGCCCTTTCTAGGCTCAGACAAAGACTAAGAGGCTGGAGCTGCTCAGCTCAGGGCAGACATTCAGCCACCCTCCAGACCAGGATAGGAAATCTAGATTGCAGGACATTCTGAAACCATACAAGAGGGGACAGGGCAGGAAGGACATGCAATGTCCACCAGCTTCACCACCCATCAGCTTTAACTGGGAAATGAGCCTGGACTGGGAAAAATAAGACCCTGGGCAGGGCTGGGCTCCTATAGGCTGTATTTCCCCCTCCACAAAGATGCCAGTTCCTCTGTGTCTTCTTGCTATCTGAGGCAGGCTGCGGACTTTTTGAGAGCAAGAGACAGCTGAGTCTTCTTTCATCTGCCTCAGATAAACTTTTGGGAAGTGCTGGGTGGATGGGTGATGTATGTGAATGGACTGGTGAATAAATGTGTAGATGAGTAATCAATGAGATGAGGGGTAGGTAGGGAGAAGAAGAGATGGGTGAATGAGTAATGGGTAGGTAGATGGATGTGTGGATGGATGAGTGAGTGGATGGGTGGATTGATCGGTAGATGAATAGACAGATAGGTGGATGGATGAGTGAATGGATGAACCCGTGAGTCAGTGGGTGGATAAATGGTGGTTAGGTGGATGGATGAATAGATAGATGGATAGGTGGATGTGATGGTTGGTAAATGGATGGATGGATATGTTGGTTGGTGGATGGATGGGTGGATGTGTGGATGTGTTAGCTGAAAGGTGGGTGGATGGATAGATAGATGGAAGGATGGATGGATGGATAGGTAGATGAGATATGTTAATTGCTAAATGGAATGGAATGGTGGATGAATAGATGGATGAATGAACAGATGGATGGATGAATATGTGAGTGGGTAGATCAGTGACTATGAATTTATAGGAGTCTTAAGGCAGGACTGTTGTCTCTACCTTCTACTTTTTTTTCTTGTGGCAGCAAGAGGCAGGATTTGGCCTGGGCCAATACCAGTGCTCTCACTACCTCCAGCTTGCTGAGCTGGTCTCTTCCACAGCTACCCTCAGCCATCCAGGCAGCATTGATCCTTAGACCTCCCAATTAGCTGACATCTTTTACTGAAAAAAAAAAGAATTTTCAAGGATAGATTGCAAGGTCTACAAGGATTCACAAACTTTAGAGACCACCTAGTTAAACCCCCTCAGTTTACTCTGAGAAACAGGAAGGGATTTGTCCCAAGTTACCCCATTGGTTAGTGACGTTAGAATCCAGGTGTTCCAATACCTATCTCAGGAAGCAATGGTTAAGAGGTTTGACTCTAAAGTCCAACAGACCAACGTTCATATCCCAGTCCCAACACTCACCACCTGAGGGACCCTGAGCCAGTTACTTAACCTCTCTGAGCATGTGTTTTTCAGGCTATAAAGTGAGCATATCATTATTGCTAACATTCACTTAGCTAGGCTCAATGCTGGGTGCTCACCTTACCTTGCTTTATATGACAGCCCACAAAATAGGTGACACCACACCCCATTGCATAGATAAGGACCCTGAAGTTGGAGCAGTTAAGGAACATGCTGAGAGTACCTGAGCAGGTCTGAGGCCAGGCCAGGATTGGAACCCAAATCTGTACAATTCCAAGCCCAGGCAGGTCCCCACCACTTCTCTGCCCTGAGGCTGTTTGTCCAAGGGCTTAGACAAGCTGAGGTGTGTGCAGTGCCCCACACAGTGCTTGACACAGATCAGGTGCTCAGTCCAAGGCAGTCATGACTCTGTTTCCCCCTGCTGCTCTTTCTGAGCCTTCCCCTCTGTAGTTTGCTATGCCAGCCACTGTCTTTCTTTTTTTTTTTTTTTTTTTTTTCTTTTTTTTGAAAGAAAGAGAAAGAGGAAGAGAGAACAGAAGTCTTGCTCTATTGCCCAGGCTGAAATGCAATCTAAAAATAGGTATTAAAAACCTCTTTTATGCCGATAGTTGTGCTTAACAGCAGAGACGGGAAGGAATAAGGGAAGAAAATAACAAACAGCCAACAAATATTTCATTTAAGTCTGTGAAATGCTGTGCAAATGCTGAAGAGTGATTTACTTCCAATTATGTGGTCACTTTCAAAATAGGTGTAATGTAATACTGAGAAAAATGTATGTTCTGTGGACCTGGGGTGAAGAATTCTATAAATATTCACTGAGTTTACTTGCTCCAGGTCTGAGTTCAAATCATAGATGTCCCTGTTAATTTTCTATCTCGTTGATCCGTCGAATATTAACAATGTGGTGTCAAAGTCTCCCGCTATTATTGTGCGGGAGTCCAAGTCTCTTTATAAGTCATTAAGAACTTGTCTTATGTATCTGGGTGTTCCTATATTGGGTGCATATATATTTATGATCATTGACTCCTGTTGTTGCGTTGGTCCGTTTACCATTATGTAATGTCCTTCTTTGTTTCTTTTAGTCTTTGTTACTATTAAAGTCTATTTTGTCA